GGAGTCCCGGGCCTGTGGCCACGGCGCCCAGCTCCCTGGTGGCCGCAGCAGCCTCAGTGGCAGCAGCTGCTGGTGGTGACCTGGGCTGGATGGCAGAGACCGCTGCCATCATCACAGACGCCTCCTTCCTGTCTGGCCTGAGCGCCTCCCTCCTGGAGCGGCGTCCAGCCAGCCCACTGGTCCCTGCCGGGGGCCTCCCTAACGCCCCTCAGGACAGTGTCCCCACGAGTGACTCCGCAGCTTCCGACACAACTCCCCTGGCAGCTGCAGTGGGCGGGCCTAGCCCGGCCTCCATGGCCCCAACAGAGGTGCCCTTGGAGGCTGGGTCCTGAGCCGCACAGCTGAGCCGCCTCTGACCCCTGCTGGCTGGGCCTGACCTTCTGGAGCCTGTGGGGGCTGGGGAGTCGCCACCTCCTTCCTCTGGAACTGCCCAGCCTGTGTCGGGGGCTTTCAGGGTGTCATGGGGTTTGCCCGGAAGGCGGGCTTCCCTCCCCGTGGTGTGAGGTTGTGCCCGAGGCTTGTACCTGCTAGTGAGCTGTTTGAGCTGGCCAGCAAAGAGAGGGGGTGGGGTTCCGTGGAAGGTTCTGGAGGGGGCTTGGTGAAAGGTCTGTAGTGAACCGTCTTGAGGATGGAGTGGGGTCCCATGGTGCAGGTCTCTGAGCAAGGCGGAGGTGTGGAGGAGAGGCCGGGATGGAGCGGGGCTTTGGACCCTAGCGCTGTCCCTTCCGGCCTCAGCCCGGCTCTGCCTGGTGCTCCCTGCAGTGCCTTCTCCATGGCCCGGCCCTCCCCGCGTGTGCACCAGGCCTGGGGTTCCCGGGAGAGTAGAGCTTGTGCCTCGGGCATAGGGACGTGGGGTGCAGGCGCCAACATCAGTGGCAGCAGCCAGGGCTGTGGGCCAGCCCCACTCGGGGTGGAGTGGGCCGGGGGCCAAACCAGTCACTCGGAGAGGAATGCGGAGGAGCGCGCATTCCATTCTATTTAATTGCAGTGTACAAAATTGTGTTTGTATATAGAATAAACTGTCTGTTGACAGCGGCCCACTGCGCTATGTGTGTGTCTTGAGCCCAAAGGGCCTGGCTGCCACCTTACTCGCGGCTCCGCCGTCGGCCAGAGTGTGGTGGGTCCTCCCCGGGGGCCGCTGTGGCCTGAAGCAGGCGCAGAGGCCGGTGGCGTGCGCTGTCCCCGAGCTGTGCCAGGAGCTCGCCGCGCCGCACCAGGGCCTGGCGGAGCCGCTCGCGCGCTATCTCGATGCACCGCTCCAGCTCCTGCAGCTCCCCGGGCTGCGGGGCTCCCGTGGGCCTTGCAGCGGGCGGGCGGCCGTTGGAGCACAGCCAGACGGGGCTCTCTCGCGGCGCATCCTCCGCCTCCACGTCCGCTTGGGGCGCCACAACCACGGCGGGCTCCAGCAGGAAGCGCACGCGGCGCTCCTTGTCCACGACCCGGCGCTCCCGTTTCCAGCCCTCTGGAGCCACTGGCGGGCCCTGCTGCTGCTGCTCCACCTCAGGGCCGCTGGGGACGGAACCGGCCTGGTCAGTGTCTGCCGGGGCAGCCGTCTCGCGCCCTCGGCCTCTGCAGGGGCCACTGAGGGCAGAGGATGGCCGATAGGCACAACCAGGGAGCTGCGGTGTGCACAGAGCCGTCCGGGGGTGGGCGGGGGACCTGCGCGAACCTTCTGCACCCCGCGGCCGGCTTCGGGGCGAGCTGGTGGGGTGAGTCTGGGTCGTCCTGGGACGTGGTCCGCCCCGATCACCACTTACACCACTTACCTGGGCTCCGCCTCTGCCGTCCCCTCCTTTGACCCCTCTGGCGGCTCCGTGTTGAGGGCGCGGTGGATTTTCTAAAACCCCAAACAGACACGGTTGGCGAGGAGGCAGGGGTGGTGGGGCCGCCCGCCGCCCGCCCGGTCCCCACCTGGCTGGTGTGCAGCCAGTACTGCAGCCTGCTCCCCCTGCGGATGCGCGGCAGTGCCAGGCGGAAGAAGGCGTGCTCGCCCAGCGAACTGAGCAGAGCGCTGCCCAGGCCCAGGCATAGCAACACGAAGAGGCCCGAGAAGTGATAGATGCTCATCTGCAGGGTCTGGGGGCAGCACAGCAGGAGCCCCTCACGGTCACGTAATGGCAGGCCCCTGCGGAGCCTTGAACTGGGGGAGAACAGTTTGGGCCAGAGAGAGGGGTCTGGGGCAGTGGAGCCAGGCTGGGAGGCAGGGACTCCATGGCTGGGGGAGTGAGGTTTCATGGAGGAGGGGGCACTGGAACTGGGGTTTTGTAGGGCGAATAGAAGTGCGCAGAAGGGGACAAACGCACATCTGGGGAATGAGCACGGGGTTGGTCACCTCAGACAAGGCCCAGGGCCCCCCACCCCCACCCTCTGTCCTGGGCCCTGCCCCACCTCTGTAACCGCGAAGACCCGCTTGCCGCAAGGCACCATCTTGTACCACTTGTCGTGGAGGAGGTCAATGAAGCCAGAGGACTTGTAGCGGCTGATGAACTCGGACAGGTTGGAGGTGAG